GTGCAGTACGAGCCACTCCGTGCTCCTCATTGGCAGCTGCTCCTGGCAGCCCAGCCTTTCAGGTGCGTGCTGGGAGCTTTCCCGAGCCTGGCTTGCATTTCACCTTTTTTCCACTTTGTTGAGAAGATTGTCCAGCTTGAGTCTCTCTTGCCTACTGTGGAGGCACAGGAGAATTTTTAGGTGGATAGAGAAGCAACCCTGTTCTTACTTTTTGCTCAGGCCTTTCTTTGTGACTTCTGATCAGGGGAACATTTTGACTAAAATGACATGGAGTACGACCACGCCCACACTCCACGCTCTCCACGCTTTGGGCCTCTTGGAGGGCTTTGCCTTCCACTCTGAAAAGTTATAATTCCCTGTTTTCATCCTGCCTGCCTGTGGCCTCCTGTCCTTCCTCTGCACAGTGTTCTTTCAGATGCATCTGTTTCTTTCTTGCCAGGGAGTGATTTGTGTTCTCAGGGATATCCTCAGCCTGGGTTGGCTACTTTTAAGAGATGCCTCATTCTCCTGCCAGCATCTTTAGACTTTTTGCCAAAGGACCACTCCATTAAAGTGACTGAACCGGGGAGAGACCGAAGACTCTTGGCTGTTGCCTCCTGTGTCTTCCTTCACCATTCTGAGTGCCTTCCTCTCTTGGCATAGAGCAGAGGACCTTGCACAAGCCACAGCTAGCTCGGGACCTGTGTCATCTCAGCCACTTGGGAGGGCAGTCTCAGAGCAGGAGCCGCTGGTATCCAACGTGGTGCCCTGAGCCCCACACTCGAGAATGGGATAGCCCAGCCTGCCTCTTCCCCTGGTCTTGTAGCCATTGTTTGGAGTGAACAGTCAGATTGATGAACTGAATGTTGGGGGTTGGATTTGTATATACCCCCCTCCCCCCCATGTTAAACAGCACATGCACAGCAGGATGCACTGCCAGGTATATGGAGAGGAAACAAACAGGCAAAACCAAAAGATGGGAAAAATCTAACTGCCAACCTCAAGGGACAAATCTGGGAACTGAAAAAGAGAAGTGCTGAGGATCATGGGTGCTTTTATTCCAATAGGTTTTGTTGATCTGTGAAGCCAGAATTCTCCCAGCCCCACCCCAACATCTTATTAAAGCCAGGCCTTGTTGCCAGCTATGCCTCATATTTCCCTCCTCTGGGAATTTGAACATAATGCCATTTCCCCTTCCATGAGGGGAACATGGACGAGGGTAATTGGAGTGATTAGCCTAATCTGCAGGAAGGCTGTGCGTGGAATTAAGTTAAGCACATTTGTACTGAGCAGCGACGTCTGTCAGGCCGCTGAAAGGTGCCTTGGTGGTTCTATACCCTTAAGAGAAGTTGAGGGTTCATTGAAGGAGCATTGGCTTTTATTGCTGACTTAAATGCAAGCTTATTGTTTAAATTTGACAAGGGCCTCTGAGAGCTTTCTTTATAGATGCCATGTGTGGGGTTATACCATGTGTGGGGTTACCCCAACCCCAAATGTTGCCAGGGCTTTGTTCTCGGCAGTAGTGGAGCGTGGTGACCAGGGAAATGGTTCAGATGGACATTTGTCAGACTGGCCGGCTTCTCTGCTCCAGAGGTCCTAGAGTTAGAAGAGGAAGCCCAGGTCCTCCTGTGCCACAGGGACAGGGCCGTTTCCAGCACTTTCTTCTAGCAGTTTGTGGAATGACTTGGGCTAGAGGAAGGTACTGTTGTGTCTGAAACGGGGGCAGCTTCACTAACCACATGGAGGGTCAGTGACAGACCCAGCTTGCAGGGCTGTGGATGCTAAAGCCACACTTCCTCCCCAACCTTCCCAATCTCCTCAGGCAAGTGGATTCCCACCTGTGTCGAATGGAGAAGCCAGGACTCGCTGTGTAGCTGGAGGAATGAGAAATAGGGCCAGAATTGCTAAAGCAAATGCAATAAGCATACTAACTTCTAAAGCAAATCAGCATTTCATGGTATAAAGAAGTATTTACTATTTTGAATTTACGTTCTTTCGTGCTTTGATGTGGACTCGGGGAGAAATCTGCTAGCTGCTATAGCAGTGGCAGGACTAAAAGGTGGAGCAAATAGGAAAACCAGTTTATTTTCAGTAATTCATATTTTTTATTTTTTCTTGCTAGATTTGTCTTCAGCAAAGAGGAAGTTTGCAGATTCCTTAAATGAATTTAAATTTCAGTGCATAGGAGATGCAGAAACGGATGATGAAATGTGTATAGGTAAGTGATGCCCGTGCAGCTTATCGCAACTTCCGATGTCCCTGCTGAGCCTTTTTCTGGGGCTAAGTGTTATAAATTAAGAAATCCATAGTAACAGCAGAGGGGGCAGAGTTAGGCGAAGAGCAGGGATTTGGGGCTATTCTGGGCTGCTTCTTGGAGCTCTGGGATTGCGTCTCCCCCCTCCATTCGCAGGAGAAAGCTTGAAGGTTTGCAGTGGGGCTCTCCTCTCCCTTCCTTTAGTGTTCCGCTTCTGGCTGGTTTTATGCCGTTCATCCCCACAGCCACGGAGCTAAGAACTGAGCAAAGGTGAGAGAGGAATTAGATCAGAGGTTGCAAATGCTAGCTCGTGGGCTGAGATCAGAATGCAGCCATGTTTTCTTTGGCACTCATTTTTTAATTGAATTCCCATATAAATTGAATTTATCCTAAAGTTTCAGTTCTCCAGCTTCTTTGACAATTGGAGAATCTGATCAGCTGGCCCCACATCCTGCCTGGCAACAGTAGGCTGGAGCTATGAGGGGAGGAGCTCAGTGTGTAGCTCACAGTGCCCTCCACCTCTCTCTTTTGTTTCTTTAATGAGAGGCTGATGGTTGGAGTTACCTTGGATACCTCACTGCTTCTTCACTCTTCACCATCACCTGTTTGTCTTTTGTAGGCAACACTGAGCACAGAGGACTTGCAATGCCAAGATAGCTTTCTTTGCCAGGGCCTAGTCATTGCACTTTACTCTTCTTACATTGGGCATCTTGGTTGACTTCATGAAATGAGCAAGAATTGAGAATTTTATACTGAATTAATTAAGTCATCAAAAGCTTATTGAGTCCCTATTGCCATGCAGTGCACCAGGATCTGGGGATGAGCAAAGGCAGTTGGGAGATAGCTCAGAGCAGTGAAAATGTATCATTATAAATCCTGAATGTATGGATGTTTTCCCCAGCATCATTCAGATGTCCCAAATATTCTCAGGGCTATTGCACTTAAATGCCTGTTGCCTTTGGGAATAATTCTAGCACAGGGGACTCTCCCCATTTGACTAGCGTTCTGCAAGCTGTATTGCATTAATTAGTGGCTTGGAGACTCAGGAGGAACCCAAGGAGAAGCCAAAGCTTCCAGTGCCAGCAGTACTGTTTGTTTAGTTCTAGTGCCAAAGAAAAGGTTGCGTTCTGACGCAGGCCCACAACAAAGGTTGAGGAGGTCGAATTCTGGGCAGGAAATCCTCCAACTCTTAACCGGAACTCTGCCCCTTCCAGCCCGGGATCTGGGAGCCGGCCAGCATCTCATCAGTCCTGGGTACTCTCAGGAACAGGCCAGTCTTTTCCTTGAAGGAAATCCTTCCCTAGCTAAAGTGCCAGGTGGAATTAACATGCATTTCTGGGTCATCCTTAATGGTTAACAATTAAAAAATAAGGGGAGCCTTGGGAAACAGTTGACTTTAGGTTTCTGCATGTGCCAAGGGATTTCAATCCATAATGGTAGCTGTATCTTCCATCTCATGGCCCCTTTCTCTTTTCCAGCAAGGTCTTTGCAGGAGTTTGCCACTGTTCTCAGGAATCTTGAAGATGAACGGATACGGATGGTGAGTATAGCTGGGCTGCTCTCGGTCCCAGACAGTATGGTCACACCTGGGGAATACAGGATTTGCTATCAGAAGAACTGGGTTTGAGTCCAGGCTCTGCCACTTGAGTGCTTTGAGCTCTTGAGCAAGACTTATCTTCCCATCTTTGTAGAATTTGAAGCCTTTTGTAAAAAAATAGGATATATGTACTTGGATAACTTGAGAATGACCTCATTGCCCTCCTAAGGATTCACTGTAATGTGTATACATAAGGTATATGACTTCTAGGGATAACTTTACAATTATTTAACTCTTTGGGGCCTTAGATTTTTCTGTTGGCAGAATGGGAATGAAGGTGCCCCACTCTGCAATCCCCCTACCCCACTTTATTAAACTTATCCAAGAGCTCTTGGAGGGCAGGGTCACTCCTTCACTTTTAATTCCAAGCACCTAACACAGTGCTTGCCATGTGGTAGGCACTCAGTAAGCGGGTACTTGGTAAGTGAAGTGATGGTAGTTCTAAGAAGGTCTTCAAAGAGAGACACTGTGAAGTTCACGAACCTAAGGCTGATCTTCAGGTTCTTAAAAGATCTCTTTTGCATTAGAATTTATTCTGATGTGGTTCAGCATTAGCAGATGAGGGATTCTAAACCCACAAGTTCTTTGGCATCTCCCCCCATATTCCTAACATACCAGGCCTGAGCCTGATTTGAAACCCCCTGCTGACAGCATGAGGATGTGTCCCAAGAAAGGCTTCTCTCTAGAAAGTAGTGCTCCAGAAGCCTGAGGAAGAGTCCATTAATGAACATTTTTCTTCTCTTTCCATACTAACAACTGATGGTTTGAGACTAAATTTCCTGTCTTGGTCAGCTTGGGCTGCCAAAATACCATAGACTGAGTGGCTTAAACAACAGACATATATTTCTCACAGTTCTGGAGAATGGGGATTCCAAGATCAAAGGGGTAACTGATGTGGTTCCAGGTGAGGGCCCTCTTCCTGGCTTGCAGATGGCCACCTTCTTACTGTATCCTCACGTGGCAGAGAAAGGGCGGGGAAGCTCTCACGTCTCTTCTTACAAGGGCACTAATCCCATCAGGACACTACCCTCATGACCCAGTTACCTTCAAAGAGGCTCCATATTCAAATACTATCACATTATGGGTATTAAAAGATAAAGCATGTTAAAATTTTAAGAATTTATTTGAGCAAAAATCAATTCAAGTTAGGTAGCACCAGCCTGGAAACAGGAGCACTCTTGTGACAGGAGCTAGGAGAAAGATTTCCATACAGAAGGTGCAGAAGCAAAGCAAGGACATTATTTAATTGGCTGTCTCTTAAGTGGTTGCCTTACTTGGGAAGGCCTGGTTGTGACTGCTTCTTCTCAGGCTTTGATTTCTTAACCTTGCGGCACTCACAGGCTTAGGTTTGGGGTTGCTGATGTAGGCTGCTAAGGCATTAGAGCCTCTCATCTAATGGCCTCCTTGTTTCATTAATTTGCCAGGGTTAGAGCTTCAATACATGAATCTGGGGCGGAAAGAGGGATGCAATTTAGTTCATAGCATCTACCAAGACACTACGTAGCCAGACATTTTCTATTTTAACCATCATGATGACTGTGTGAGGTGGTGCCTGTATCATCCTCATTGTCCAGATGAAGGTATTAAGATTTACAGAAGTTATGTAACATGCCCAAAATCACACAGTTCATAAGTAGCATGGTCTAGATTCAAACCCAAGTGTGTGTTATACCAAAGAATGTGGGAGTTTCTTGAAAACTCCAAACAGAGCAGAAGCCTCTTGCCTCCTGCCCTGCAGCGAGACACACTATTTCCCTTGATTGCTCATTGCTGGGTGCTTGAACCAGAATCAGATGGTGGCGGTGGTGGCGGTGGCGGTGGCGGTGGCGGTGGTGGCGGCAGTGGTGGCAGCGGCACAGGGTTGCTGGTGGGTGGAGGCAGGGAAAGCTTGTGTTTGTGCACTTGCTAGTGCCTGAGAAAGGGAAGTGATTCTTTGGAGTCTGATTCTTGGCCGAGTCAGTATTTGGTGGTGGGCGGTGTGGTGAGCAAATCACGGTAATACCCCGAAGATTGCTGTGGCCTGCAGGAAGGGAACAATGACTGGATTATACTTCTCAGCTTGCCTCTGCAATTTTATTATTAATGTCAGTGAATCGAGTTTCTGCTGCCTGCATCTGAGTCCCTGGCCATCGCAAGCCCCTTCGCTACCTCCTTGCCCTGTGACAGCTTCCTCACCATTTCAGCTCAGCTTAGCAGAACTGTACCTTTTTTGGAAAGCCTTCCTGATGCCCTGGGATGTTTGACCATCCTTTGTGTTTTCTTATCCACTTCATGCCTCTGATTCTGCACTCAGCACATTGTGTCCTGATAATCACTGCACATGTCCCATAGTAAACATGAGTTCTTGAAGGGCAGAGAATGGGCTACCGTGTCCCCCAGTATTAGCAAGTGCTTGGACCTGAGTGGAGATTACACAGTCATGGCATCATAGACCCAGACAGACCTTATTTCTCACCTCTGCAGTCCCTCATTTGACAGGTGAGAAAGTTGAGGTCTTAGGAAGGCTGATAGCAAGCAGTGGAAGGACGGGGGCAAGGACTTGGGCATCCTGAGTCCCAAGAGCAGTTACTGCTTTTATATGTTTAGCATCTACTTAGGGCTGGATTCTCAGTCATGGATGCCCTTTGGAACAACTTGACTTTAAAACATACTGATAATGCCTGGGACGAAGTGTAGAGTTTCTGATTTAATTGGTCTGGAGTGTGGCCTGCACATAGAGATTTTTAACAGCTTCCCAGGTGAGCCTAACATGCAGCTAACGCTGAGATCCACTGACTTAGGAGCTCAGACACCATTGTGAGCTTTAGGGACTTTTACTTGATTTGTGGAAGTGACTTAAACAAGTGAGCCAATTAAGTCTCATCAGATAACAATAAAAATCAAACAAGTTAAACAATATTGCAACACTCTAGTGTTGCTCTTTATTAAAATAAATGCTCTCAAAGTTGAGAAAAAGGGCTCGGCCAGGCGTGGCTCAGCAGTTGAGCATTGACTTATGATCCAGGAGGTGGAGGTTCAATTCCTGGTCAGGGCACATGCCTGGGTTGCAGGCTCAATCCCCAGTAGGGGCTGTGCAGGAGGCAGCGAATCAATGACTCTTATCATTGATGTTTCTACCTCTCTCCTCTCATTTCCTCTCTCTGAAATCAATAAAGATATATTTTTTTAAAAAATTGAGAAAAAGGCAAATGGCAGTGAATTTGGAGACCTGCCACCTTCTGTCACCTTCTGTTCTTCACTTTGTCCAGTTAGTTCTTTCTGTGTCCATCTATGGCTTCTGGTATTTACTCTGTTGGTTTCATTGCAGTGGATATGCATGTGATTTAGAAAAATAATGCTTTGTTGTGATGAGATTCCTGAAATAATTAGTTGAGCAGCGAATAAGCAGTGAATGACTTAAGAGGAAAGATTGTAAAATATTGTACAGTACTGCTTTAGAAAAGACCATGGAATCTTAGCGCTGAAACAATCCAGCCCAATTGTTTTGTAGACAAGGAAATTGGAGCCCAGAGAGGTTAAATGTTTTGCCCATGGTCACGTAGTTGGCAGCCAATCAAGAAATAATTCATTCATTCATTTAGTCATTGAAAAATATTTGAGTGCTCCTTTGTTTCAGCACTCTTCTGTGTTTTGTGGATGTGGTGGACAAGTGAGCATTTACGAGATGGTGCGTGTGCGTGTGTGTGCATGTGCATGCGTGCATGGTGGTGAACAGAAAACTTTAGCTGGCTTACATCCTCTGAAGAGGTGGGAAGTTTCTCTGGATGTTATTGGTGGTCATAGAAGGCCTCCGTACAGAGGTGGCCTTTAAACTGAAACTTGCATAAGTAATGAGTCTTCCTCATGAGGATTTGGGGACAGATCATCTGAGTTAACAGTGAAATGCAAAGGCCTAGAAGGGGGACAGGTTTGGTGCATTTGAGGTGGCTTCCAGTGATGGTGTAGTTGGAGTGCAGGACCTGAGGGGTTGAGGCTATGAGATGAAATTAAGAGGCAGCTAGTAGTCAGTAGACACAAGCGTCCTGATCATAGTCCAGAGAGAGAGAGAGAGAGAGAAACATAGAGATGAGAGAAGCACACTGATTGGTTGCCTCCTGCACGTGCCCCAGCTGGGGATCAAATCTGCAACCCAGGTATGTGCCCTTCACCAGGAATTGAACCAGGACCTCCTGGTGCATGGATCGACGCTCAACTGCTGAGCCACACCAGCCAGACCCTAATTTTTATTTTTAAAGATTCAATTTTAATCATGCACAGGAAGAATACCATGTTTTGAACTGATGACTAGGTTTTGATTCGACATGCTGTCAGTTTAAATATTGTGAACAGTTACCACATGCACAGTATTGCTTACTCAAATTTTATTTGGAGACACGGGGAGGCATTTTGTGCCAGAGCCACTCTAATTCTTTACTGATACTGCTCTTGTGTCTCCCTGACCCTGCTCCCCTCTGTTTGTTCTCACCAGATTGAGAATGCCAGTGACGTGCTCATCACACCCTTGGAGAAGTTTCGGAAGGAGCAGATCGGGGCTGCCAAGGTGAGAATTTTGCAGTAGATTTTAGGGCAGGAAGGCTGGAAAACACACGTTCTTTGGGAAATCTTCAGAAAATCTTGGGCAGATAAGCCCGGAGCCTTGCTCATCTGTTCTTCACAAGTGTCTGAGGATGGCCTGAGTGGTCATCCCCAGAGCATCCATTCTAGTATTTTGTTTTCTAATCATTTTGTGCTAGTTGTTAAATCATCCTAAGTTAGAAACCATTACTCCTTTATGTTGGTAGCTAGATACCTGTGTGCTTGGACAACATGGGATTGTCTTTATTGTGAGGTCCAGGACCCCTCACCAAGGACACAGGTTACGAGTTGGGCCCTGTGAGTGTGGCACTCTGTTCTTAGCTCAGTTTTGCTGTGTATGCAAATAAACCCTCTCTTGATAGATCTTTAAATTTTTCAAGCGAAATGGAAAAGTCAGAGTTTTATATGAAATTGCCTTGTTTTAAAAAATATGTTGGCAAATAATTAAAAATATATATTACAGATCGTGCAGGTCAAAAAGTGGGATTGCTTCAGCCCAGAGGTCACTGTTTGTTATCACTGACTTGGAGGAGCTGTAGCCTGAACTTGGCCGATTCTAATGCATTCGCTGAAAGACAGCAACTGGAGTCTTGTTCATTTTTAAGAGGCAGATTCTCCCGGGGTCCCCTGCTCTGTGAGGAATCACTAAGAAGCCCTAGCCAGCTTGACCTTCAGTAGAGTGTTCGAGACCACCTGCAGGGAAGATGTTTTCATTGGAATCAATGAAAGCAAAAGGATTTTTCAGATTTTCTTCTTGCTTTTCCAGAACTCAGTTCTTCAGCCACAGTCCCTTGCGCCACCTGCAGGGGTATTGGACAGCATCACACTCTTACCTGTTTTATGAATTTTACTCAGCTGTGAAATGGCCTTGAAAGGTGCCTGTAGGTGGGAAAAAAACAGCTGAAATGTAAGAAGTGGGGTCTTCCACCTCTCTACCCTCTTCGACCCCCTCCAAGTGCATCTGCTTTCTGAAAATGAACATATCAGGGCCTGAGAGAGATGATGTTCACTTCAGCCAGGGTTACTCATTTTTGAAGGAGGGACCACAGCAAAGATTTTTCTTCCAATTCTACAGCACTTTTCTACCAATTTTACAGTTTACATTTATGAAGAAATTGGAGATTATTGGTTTTATATCAGGAATGTGTAATTTAAAGGAATGTCTGTTTCCATCAGGATTTTATCCAAGACTTTGAGCAAACCCAGCGAAGGGTGAGAAAATGTCCTGCGCGTCCCTCTGCAGCTCTCGCTGACGCAGGCCCAGTGAGCAGCTCTTCTTTAGCGGCCCTGGGGCCTGTGCCTCCCACCCCTGAAAACACGTGGCAGAGGCTCTGAAGAGCTTTTCGGCAGAGGCAGAGCAGACCTGTTTACTGAGTCATCTTTCTAATAGTCACTTCTCCCTCTGAGCACAGACGCCTCTCACTCTGGCCTCTTCCCTCAGCACTGGTTTGAATGTTATCACAGTTAGCACGGGGGAGAAGTGAAAGTCTGAGTGAGGCTCCCTTTGGATTAATACATTGATCATAATGACAGGAGCAGGTACTTTTCCAGGTTGGGTGGGCGGGGGTGGGGGCTATAGATGGTGAGAAATATGAGAATTAAATTTAAGAAAAATGGTTGTTCACCAAAATGTGTTTCCTCATAAATATTCTGTTCTCCCATTCCTGTTGAAGTATAATGTGATGACATTGGAGGTGATTGCTCCTCCCTCCTTTGTCATTTCATTTTTTCAGTATACCTGTGTCGTCGTCCCCC